CTGCTGTTATTGAATTGAAGAGCCGGGAGAAAGAGAATGATCAAGGATGCTGAAACACTTACTAATTTAGACTACTGAATGTAATTAGCGTGTTGCTTTGACGCATAAGTTGGAGAAGCTCTTTGCCTAAGTTTGATGGCCATTTTCCTACTGGCCGAATTTAGCTCTTGCGTAAGAAGTTGGATTGGTTGAAGTGTTTTTTTATTTTTAAATTTTTCTTTGGAATAAATGTGGCAATGTTACGTTATATTGACTAGGTAAATATTTAATGTATTAAAAAAATATGGCGACTTGCGAATATTCTCATTTTTCTACCCTCAAAACAACACACACACTCACTTGGCTGATCATGTTGAAGCTTTAATTTCGCGTGATTATGTACTTAATAGTTGTGTCGCACTGCTAATGGCTGGACAAAAAAATTTAAAACTGTTTAATGTGCTTTAAGATTATGCCTTCATTGTGTGCATGCCCTTTTATGAGGCAATAATATAACCTTTAGACAGATATTACATATAGTATGAAAGATGATATGATTATCTTGTTTTCTATTCTGATAACCAAGCTTAGAGGTCGTCATTGGCTTCAAGCCATTTCAAGATTATCATCTCATTAATCGATGAGATTGACATCTTAAATGATATTCTAAATCATCATTTTTATTAGGTGCGATATTTGCGTATGCGCCATTTGTTGTCAAAAGGTTCAACGCCTTTGTTTTCCAGAGGTAAAGAATTATGATGTCACCAAAGGCAGGCCAACAGCTGACCAAATGGATTGAGGTACATATAGAAATCATACTGAAAATTTGAGCGCATAACTATTGTATAACTTAATTCCATATTTGTTTCTTTAGTCTTTTAATTGACAGTCTTCAAAGTTATGAGTTATATATACATCGCCTATTCCATTTTTGATAAGATTAAGTCTTTAATGGCTGAATAAAAAATTATTTATAGAATTAATGACAGTCCTAATTTTTCTATCCAACAACTTCTTTGTAGGCAGTTGAACAAGATTATGCTATACAGCAACTAAGCATGATCGACCCAGAAGTTACTTGGTGGCATTAAGAAACGGTTGGGAGTAGGTCCTTTTTATTTTTATTTGGTGATTGATTCTCTATATTTTAAATTCTCTTGTGGACCGTATAAATATAGTACACAAAAACTGTGTATTCCAAGACACCTTATTTAATAAATTGATATCGTTTCTTCTACGAGATTGAAGAAGCGATCCTCAAGCCTTTGCAGGTTGCAACTATAAACTCTAAGCACCTTAGTATTATATTATTAGAACATGCACAACTTAAAAAATGCATTAGATTTCAACATTTTATATTAATCGTTAAAAAAGCTTCAGCGGTATAATAAGTGCTTAACCCACTATCAGTCAGGGAGAAGCTATCTCAGTTACCTCTTTATCACTCCAGTCATTATATATATGAAATAGTTGTTAACGTTATGGGTTAGTTGTTAGGGTTATATGTTAGTTGTTAAGAATAATTTCTTTTATAATCATCTAATTCTATGTTTCAATATCGACACTAGCATTTGCCACGTTATTAACGAGAATATTTGCCACGCCGCACGTGCCGAAAATATCCAAGTGAGGTCGCATTCGACGACGCCTTTGTCGTTATTTTTATCTTCTAAACTTGCACAGTTAAAAAATATTTGGTGGACTGGACTTTCCTTTTTCTTGTTATTTTTAAACTTCGAAACTCTATTCTGAGAATATTTTTGGTGGACTGGACTTTTCTTTTCATTTTCTTTTTTTTTTCAGTGGACGACTGGACTTTGTCCGAAAGCCCAAACAAAATCACAACAAAAGCGCATAACCATGAAGTTTCGTTGTACATAAATATTTCATGGTTTGAACTTAGTCCCTCAGACCATTAAATTTGCTACTACGTCTCTAAATTCTCATAAGTTGTTTCAGATTAATCTTTTTAATTGCTACTTCTACTCTTGAATGGAGGGACTAATTTCTGAATAACTTAAGAATGAAGGGAGCTAATAACAATTAGGATGATTTGAGGGACCAATCTCAAACTAAATTAAAATTGGGGGTTCTTCTAACAATTTTAGAGATTTGAGCCTTTGAGAGGCTAACTTTATATTTTGAAAGATCACATAAAATTAATGCGTGGACTCTCCCTAATATCTCATCTGGGTGTGTGGGGTGCTAACAGAAACTACGCGTAATCTGACACTAGCTTTTGGTCTATATCTTTGGTTGCAGTTATAAAACTAGAGGAAAATGCTATAGATGAAGTCCCAAAATGAAAAGGGAATGTGAGTGAGCCTCAACTCAAATTTGTTATGTCCATAGCCACCAAATTGGCTTACCATTCATTCTTAAGCCTCAATTGCTCATTCAAGTACTCATGGAAACAACAAAAAAATAAAAATAAAAACGGTTGCCCTGTTTCTCTTCTGCTATAATGATGATATGCATTTACTGCTAATTAGATTTGTGTTTTGGAGGGAAAATATCCTCTCTTTCTCATAATGCCAAAAATTTCTATACTTTATATGGTTACCAACACATCAACTACTGAGGGGATATTCCTACACGTTGATTCCAAAACCCAGTTAATGAGCCTAAAGTTTAAAGTGTTAGAGAAATTAAAAATCCCATTTGATTCTCTCTAAAATTCAAACCTGCATGGAACAACAACTTCACATTTGTTATCGAAAATGAAGAAGACATGAATAATATAATTAAGCGCAGTCTTTTAAATGGATATACATATATCGATCAGTACGCTAATGTAATAGAAGAGGATTCAACTTTCCGTAGCACATATAAAGTGCTAGAAAAAAATTATATAAGTAAAAGCATTCACATTCAGAAGTTCGTTATTAAGTTTATTCTATATATGTCACTGCTAAATGTAAGTTGTTAAGCTTAGGTCTTAGTAGTGAAAATATAAGCAGTAGATGTGAAATATATGATGTTTTTATTCAATAAAATTGTATTGACAGTTGTTTAAAAGGCAAAATAGTTGACAAAACATATGAGCCATTTGTTAAGGGTATGATCGAGTTGTTAGTTATACCAATCAACTGCTAAACATATGTTCCAGTCATTATATATATGAAATAGTTGTTAACGTTATGGGTTAGTTGTTAGGGTTATGTGTTAGTTGTCAAGAATAATTTATTTTATAATCATCTAATTCTATGTTTCGATATCGACACTAGCATTACTATAATGCTGTTATCCCAATGCAAATTGAATACAACAACTAATCCCTATATTTCTAAGAAAAATTGTAAGGACGATCTATCTTGTGATGTTGTTATGATGATTGAAGACA